TCCTCTTCCTCACCGAGGTGCAGTCTGAAGACATGTGTCTTTAGTCTGTGGTGGAAGACGTGGAGACTTTCTGTCCTGGTGTCAATGTGGAGCTCGTTCCATCATTTAGGAGCCAGGACAGCAAACAGTCTGTTTCTGTTGAGTGTTAGCGCTCAGTGAGGGAGCAGCTGATTGGTCGATGCAGAGCGCAGTGGAAGGCCTGGGGTGTAAGGTTTGACTGTGTCCTGGATGTAGACTGGACCTGATCCGTTCACAGCAGGAGTGTGAGTGAACTTAGGTTGAAGACCAGTCGAGCTGCTGCATTCTGGAAGAGCTGCAGAGGTTGGATAGGACTAGCAGGTAGACCAGCCAGGAGGGAGGTGCCATAGTCTAGATGTGAAATGACCAGAGCCTGGACCAGAGCCTGGACCAAAGCCTGGACCAAAGCCTGGACCAAAGCCTGGAGCCTGGACCAAAGCCTGGACCAGAGCCTGGACCAAAGCCTGGAGCCTGGACCAAAGCCTGGACCAAAGCCTGGACCAGAGCCTGGACCAGAGCCTGGACCAGAGCCTGGACCAGAACCTGTACCAGAGCCTGAACCAGAGCCTGAACCAGAGCCTGGACCAGAGCCTGGACCAGAGCCTGGACCAGAGCCTGGACCAAAGCCTGGAGCCTGGACCAAAGCCTGGACCAAAGCCTGGACCAGAGCCTGGACCAGAGCCTGGACTAGAACCTGTACTGTCTTCTGAATGAGAAGGGGCTGTATTCTCCTGATGTTGTGCAGCATGTATCTACATGAGCAGGTTGTTGCCGTAATGTTGGCAGGAAGGGGGAGTTGACTGTCCAGTGTCACACCCAGGTTCCTAGCAGTCAGGTGAGATTCGGTCTTGTGTGTTAACATGAAGCAGGTCAGTGACTTTGTTGAAGAACAGTGGAACAAACAGTGGAAACACAGAGTTTCTCTCTGGTCCTCAGCTGCTCAATGATCAGTTGGTTTGGACCGAGCTGGAGTTTCTGTTTCCTCCTCCACTCTGAGCTGCTCTCACTTTAACTCATTAACACTCATCACTAGTTATCAGGACCTGATCCGTACATGAAGTAACTTAGTGTGAACTCAACATGTGACGCTCACAGTCAGGACTCAGAGTTAAAGTGAGGATCCGGATTCGTGATCCAAGATCATCGATATATAACTAAATACATGATCCAAATTTGTCGTCTACATCATCTCAATAAAAAACGGAATGAATTAGCTAATTCTTTTAAGTGTGAACTGGGGTCATGGTTAGGGTCAGTTCACCCAACCCTAACCATGACCCCAGGGTGAACTAATTCTAACCCTGGTTACAATTATTGTATTGAACCAAAATTGGCCTCATAACTATAGACACAGATGATCCATATATTTCATAATAAAAACCTCAGTCTGCTTCTGTCTAGTCGTTTTATTCCGAAGTCACTTTGTCTTAACTTTATACAAAATATAAAATATAATGAATCAATTAAATATTAAAATGTGTGTTTGTGAAACTCAGGATTCAAATTAACTGCCCCCCCCCACAGACACACACTGTGAGGCGTTCACTGTTCCTCACCTGGAACATGTTAACGTTTCATAAAGCTGATCCTGCTCCTGTGGTGGGGAGCGTGCACACATGTTTCGTGCACAGATTACAGATGATTTAACGCTCTGCAGGAGACATGAACCTGAACTCTGAGGCTTTTATTCAGAAAGACACAGTTTCAGTTACAGACATTTTTTCATGTTTTATTTTACAAAACAGAGCAAAGAAAAAATCCTAAGAATCTGCAGAAGTCAGCAGGTCACAGTGCGAGGCTGACCTCTGACCTCAGGCTGCAGGACGTTACACTTCAAACTCTGGAAATTTGATCAGAATTTGTTTTGGTTTTTTTACAGTACACAGAAAATAAAACACTGTTGAAAATAAAAACGTGATTAAGAACCTTCATCTGTTTGACCCATTTTTATCACTGGTCTTAAAAACTACCCCGAATGCCTTTTCACAACCCACAGAGGCCATGAAAAAATGTTGTTGGAAAAAGTTATTTTCTCAATAAATCGTTGGCACGTGTTTGACCAGAATCTTTGGTTTGAATGAAAAGGACTCTGAAACATTTCCTGCTCTCAGGGAACAAACGGCAGCATGTTCCAGGATTTCAGGGATTTTTCCTTTAAGGTCTGTGACATTTGACCCTTTGGGGGGGGTGTTCTGTGGTTCTCATTCTTTGGTTCCTCGGACGTTGTGGCGAGTCTCTTACTGACTCATCGTCCTGCTGGAGCGACTTCGGATCACCTTCTGGAAGAGGTCGTCTGAAACAGAGAGACACGGCGAGTTGACGAGAGAACGATTCAACGCTGTGTCAATAAAGTTTGAACTTTTCAAGCACCTGAACAAACTCACCGTTCCTGAAGCTCTTAGCCTCGACCTGTGAGACAGAGAGAAGAGGTCAGATTCCAGTAAAGGTTGCAATCTGAAACCAGCTGTGACTGTTAAGAGTCCTCGTGTTCACTGACATCACCTGACAGGTGATCAGCTGTTTTCTTTACTCACCTTATAGAGGGCAGCTGATCTGAGAGGAGTATCAGGTCCGTCGGCCTGTTCTCTGTCCACTTTGGGAGCTGCAGAGAGACATAATCATCATCAGGGGGAAGCAGGGCCGCAGGTGAAGGTATAATAATCTGCAGATGAAATAAAGAGGCTGAGACTCACGCAGAGATCTGATGATGCTGTCGACTGCGTGGACAACTCCGTTAGTCGCCATCAGGTCTGCGTCGGCCACCGGGACCTTGTTGACATAGACGGTGTAGTTCCGCTGAAAGGAAGTAATTCATGGTCAAGCTAATGAATGATCGATGATAGATGAAAAGTATTGATGAGTGAGGAGCGAGCACTGACCACGCCCAGCTCCAGCTTCTCTCCCTGCAGAGGTTTGACTCTAGTGTGAGATCCCACGCCCCCACTGACCAACACACCCTCCCCCAGGTGATACCGGAGCATGGCCGTCAGCTCCTGAGGGTTGCCTGGTAACAAAGAGAGGCCAGCGGTGACAGCGGATTGGCCCTGTCAGTCACTTCCTGTCAATGACTTGACTTCAAGTTTTAAATCCGTTGGAACAAGTTAAGCCTCAGTTTTAGAATCTTGGATCTGATCCTGATCAATCTGACAATGATGTGATGAAAGAGGGGGCGGAGCTTTCAGACCTCAGTCCTCAAGTCTTTATTCGGCAGCAGCACCAACAGTTTATATAAACCACATTCAACAGTCATGTAAACTGTTGGAGACGTTCGGACCAAACAAGGAGCAGCTGAGACGAGAAGGAGCAGAGACGTCGCACGATCCAGATGTTTTCACCTCAGCCTCAGTCTGTGAGGTCTCTTTAAAAACAACCTGACCTACTGTTTTACTTCATATTTTCAAACCTGCAGAAATCTGTAGTTTTAATCAAGGCACAAAGTTACAGTGAGTTTAACTGAGGGTGTGAATTGCAAAACATTGGCGAACTGGATATGTTTACATGACGAAGTGTGATGTAGCGTGTTCTTCTCGTTTTTAAACTTTGTTCACAGGTCGACCGTGGATTTCTGCGATGTGTTGTACTCACGAAACAGGTTGTTGAGCTGGAGACGTGGCAGGGCGTTGAAGGCGTTGTTGGTGGGAGCAAAGAAGGTGAGCACCCTCTGCTGGTTCAACAACTCTGTCATCCCTGCGGTCTGGATGGCACCGACCAGGAGACTGAAAACACAGGTGTGTTTGTTTCTTACACCTTAGTTGAATTGAGGGGTGGGAGCATGGTGGTTTATCATGTGACGCTGCTGACGTCTCTGATCACAACAACTCTACATTTACGTGACAGCTTCTCAAAGTGGAGCAAAAAAGATTTAGACTGCCCCCTGGTGGCTGGCTGCAGTCATAAACCCTGTCTCCTCCATGTTAGCAGATGGGACATTTTAGGTTGTTTTTTTTTACTATGATGCACATTGGGAACAGTAGCAGTTGTAGAAGTAGTATTTTTGTGGTAACATACAGTTAAACCAGAGTTTACTACATTTTAGTACTGCACCGCAATTTACCTGTGGTGTTTACCTGTGTTTACTGTCATCTACTATCGTTTACTAGTGTTTGCCTTTGTGTGTCAGTATTTTCCACGGTTGAACAGTCAGGAGGAAAACAATGTCTCTTTCTTCAATTTCTTTTCCAGGTAAACATGATTAAGACGTGTTCTCACCTGAAGCGGTCGTCTGCCTTCAGGATGTCCATGATGGTTCCCATTGGTGGAGTGAGGACCTTGTCCACAGTGAACATGGAGGCGTAACGTCCGGTCTTATCGTGAGCAGCTATGCAGGCGTTCTCGATGCACAGGTTCTATAACACAGAAACATGACACGAGTTCTGAACATGATTCATTCTCCACATACTGATTATTATTATGATGATAACTATAATTATATTACCAGTACACTCATGATACTTTATTCACTGATGTCTCTAATTCTGAATCTCTAGATATGGTGTCAAAGATGTTTTTATAAAAGCGGACCAGGTGGTTTCTACAATATTAATTTTATACAAAATTAACACAACGTTGCACAGTCTGAAAACTGGTGAGTCTCACACACACACACACACACACACACACACACACACACACACACACACTGAGACAACTCTGTGTCTGGAAAGACTTAGCAGCTGTGGGAACAGGAAATGTCTTGTGGTATGCAGAGCTAATTGCTGAGGAGACATGAACCACCCACGAGTTCTGAAAGACGTGAAGACGACGCTGGAGACAACCAGAGTCAGTCTCCCGTCCCTGTCACGATCCATAACAAGACAAAGACATTGGGAGACAAAGTGTTAACAGTTCCTTGAGGAGTCGTGTTCACCTCCACCAGTTATGAAATGGTTCTGTGCACTAATCTTTGACATGACTGACGACTGGTTGATGCTTGGCCACAGAACCACAGCAGTGACCGGCCTGGCTTCGTGTGGGAGGATGTCATCAACACATGTGGTCGCAGTGATGGAACGAGCTGAGTCACCATATTATCTCAATCCAACAAAACATATTCATGAAATGCAGAAACCAACTCAGTGACCTGATGACATCATCACACAGAGACAACATCCACAACCGATGAAGGCAGACCTTCCACTCCATCTGCCCGGCAACAGATGACACAGTCGGATAGACTCAACCAATGAAAATTGAAGTTGGAGCAGGATTAAAAAGATGTAGAACATGTATGAAGTGACATCAGAGAATCAAAACGTCACACTTCAGTTAAATGATCTACAGTACTCCACAGTACTACAGTACTCCACAGTACTACAGTACTCCACAGTTGCTCCACAGTACTACAGTACTCCACAGTACTACAGTACTCCACAGTTACTCCACAGTACTACAGTACTCCACAGTACTACAGTACTCCATACTAGTTCAAATGCACCAAATTAACGTCCTCGTGATTCCAACATTATATTGTCAGAGGTGCAGCTGCTTCCTCTTCTTCTTCTATTGTTTAATGCTGTCTCGGTCAACAGGATCAACTACCTCTGTCTCCAACACTTGGCTTTAGCTCCTTAAGCCCCCCCTCCTAATAAAGTCAGCTCTGATTGGTCAGCTGGTCCTCTCTGTTGTGATTGGTCAACAGCTTCCAGCATGTGAAGGAAATGTCGGCCTCTCTCTTTACCTGCTTTGTTAGGGGACGTGTCTACACAACTCATCACAATGTCACGTGACATCAAAGTGATGCGAACAAAGAAAGTGAAGAACAAACCAAACGTTCATACGTTTCTGTAGACGAAGACTCTGAGTGTGATGCCTCCCAGTGTCTCCAGCTCTTGACCGTGGTACAGAGACTTAGAGGACAACTGCTGCTTCACCAGGTGATTAGTCATCAGCTTCTTCATGTCGGGAGACATCGTCACACTGCCTGAGAGACAGACAGGTGGTTAGAGTAACAGAAAGGTTGACAGACAGGTGGTAAGAGAGACAGAAAAGTGGACAGACAGGTGGTCAGAGAGACAGAAAAGTGGACAGACAGGTAGTCAGAGAGACCGACAGGTGGTCAGACAGGTGATCAGATCAGTGGACAGAAAAGTGGACAGACAGGTGGTCAGAGAGACAGAAA